ATTAAATAGGTTAAATAGATCCCCCTAGACTTCAATATAGTCCCTTTAATTTAGGGAGTAATCCGAGTCGACCCTCGCGAAAATGCTCAAGGTACCACCTCAGTTATTCGATTCAACAATTGATTAAAAATCAAATAGGGTTAACATTAGAGCCTACATTTTTAGGTTTATACCTCTAGGTCCTTTGATTTCATAATTTGACACCTTAAGCTAGAAAAAGCCTTTAATTTACCTTAGCTTAATTAAGATTAATAAAAGTTTGTTTGATTGCATTTTATTTCCAAACCTATGGCAATGTTCACTTATCAGGGAATTAATGATATATCTCTTGCAAGTATGCTCAGGGGGTGACTATTAGTGATTCTCGAAATAGGTCGACATCATTTTCAAAACCACATCATGATTTTTTTTTAAATCGAGGCAATATTCGGTTATTGAGTACAATAGTTGATTTCCCGCGTTTATGCTAGGGGGTGAATGATATCGGTTTTAATAAACGAATATCCTTTTCAACTTTGCATCCATAATGATTTTCAAATTAAATAAAGATCGAACTCAAAATTTATGATTTTAAATATGGGGTAATCAACTAGGTACCAATTTTTGGGCGCTTGTGAGGGTGTTAATCCTTCCCCACGCGTAACTAACTCCCGAACCCGATTTATGGATTTTCACAGACCTTAAAACTTGGTATTTTGATAAAAATAAAATGTTTTTATTAAAATCACCCGGTTTTTATGGTGTCCCAATCGCACCTTAAATGATTGGTGGCGACTCCTCACATTTCGAAACACTTTTCAAAAGAGAAAACCCCTGATTCGGTGTCAGTCTTTCCCTGCTCGGGAGAAAAACGGTGTCAACAAATACTATCTTATAATCACTAGTAATCACCATAGATTATCTTTTAAAAGATCTATCGTAATATATATACAAAAGTGATTGTAACTAATAAGTCAAACTTGTTATTTCTGACCCAATGGTTAGGGCATCCCACCTTATTCCCAAGCTCCCAAGTTTGATTTCTCTCAACCTTAATATGTACATTAAAATTAAATAAAAAACATACAAATAGAATATGACACGCAATGAGTAATTAATTTTTGAATTAAATTAAATTTATGATTAAATTGATAGAATGTATAAATAATGAGAACCAAATATAAAATTATATCAATTTTGTTAGTTACCACATCAACTCATCCTCCAAATATTAATGGCATGTGACTTGATTGACATCATCTAAAAAATTAAATGATCTAATTGATAAAGTTAAAATATCGATAATCAAATTAGAATACCTAGAGGGGGGAAATGAAGACTCTAAAGGAGCGTTTGGTTCATGGAAAAAATCATTATCAAGGAGAGTGATCTTTTCTGGAATTGTATTCCCATATTTGGTTCATGGAAAATATCATTTCCATGTAATAACTTATTACCAATAGTAACATTTTTGGGTTAAAATAGTGAGAATGTCATTACCTCTAAATTCGTAGGTAATGAACAATTCCCACCACTTTGAACAAAATACCCCATAAATAATAATTTTTTTTCACATAGTTCCTTCTCAGTTCTTGTTATTTGTGCTTCACTCAAAATTATAAACTTAATAATAATAATAATAATAATAATAATAATAATATAAAGAGTCTAATTTAGTAAAATATTGATAAATTTGAGTAGTTAAAATTATTTTATATTTTTAATATTTAGTATATTAATTATTTTACAATTTTATGAACTGAAAATATTATTATTGTAAAAATGTAATTATTTAAATAATATTTAATTTTGAGTTATTAAAAAATAGATCTTATATATTAAAAAAGAATATATTGTCCATTTGAGATCACAATATTATTTTTTAGATTATATTATATTTTATATAAACAAATAGGATACTTATAAAAATTGTTTAAAACTATAAATTTGATATACTAATTATATCAATTATATGTTAAATGTATTTTTTATTTAAACTTAGATAGTGTGATAATTAAAACATTTTTATAAATTTTCATTCAAATACTTATAATTTAATATTAAAGTTTTACTTGCTAAAAATATATATATCAAAGGATAATTTGGTAAAATATGCATCCAAATAATCTTATATTATTCTAACCAAACACTGTAATCTTATGTTCCCGCTAAGCAAACCAAACAGGATAATACACAATTCCCAAAGTAATGTTGCATTATTGTAATCTTATTCCCAAACGTAATCTTACATTCCATGAACCAAACACACTCTAAAGAAATAAAGAGACGTTCTTAATGAATTTAAAACACATAACATAAAAAAATACGAGAAAAAAAAATGAACAACTTAACGATCAACCAAATATATTTACTCAAAAATACTCATGATTAAGTGTTCATGAAAATACTATGATATGTCGTATAACCAATTATTTTAGATCTCATTATTATACATGAGTAATAAAAATATATTATAGATAATATTTATTATTATATAGGGTAAATTACAAGTTTAGTACTTAAACTATAAGTTTAGGCCTGTTTTAGTACCTAAACTTTTAAATTTTTTTTAAAACCATTCCTAAAGTTTAGTTTTTATTTCATTTTAGTACGTCATTCAAAATTTAACGTTAAGTTTTGAATTTTTTTTAGAAGTTTAGGTACTAAAACGGACTAATACTAATAGTTTATGTACTAAACGTGTTAATTTTTAAAGACAAGTACTAAAATAAAATGAAAACTAAACATTAAGTATAATTTTAAAAAATTGAAAGTTTAAGTATTAAAACAAACCAAAATTAATAGTTTAAGTATTAAATGTATAATTTATATTATTATATAATATATACATATGAAGTCTTAAATTTATCTCAAATTTACATGAATTTTATTGGTTCTAGATCTTGTTCTAGAACTAAAATACTAATGCAGTAAGAATGATCATATATATATATATATATTAATAATATGAAATTTTGAGTAAATATCACTGTTAACTTTTCAATCGTTGATGTGATATTTTTTTTATTTTATTTCAATGATAATGTAACATTATCTTACGATGGAAATGTTGATATCATCATTAAGTTTTTAACGACGAAGTACTAAATTATAACTTAAACTAAACATTATGTATTATTTTGAAAAAATATAGTTTAAGTGTCAAAATGGAATAAAAATAATAGTTTAGATACTGAATATGTAATTTATCCTAAATTTTTTGAATGAGTGAGTACACAAAAAAATTCAGAGTAGACACCATCAATAAATAAGCAACTAATAAAAAAAATTAAATTTCAGTGTCCTCCCGACGAAGTACTAAATTATAACTTAAACTAAACATTATGTATTATTTTGAAAAAATATAGTTTAAGTGTCAAAATGGAATAAAAATAATAGTTTAGATACTGAATATGTAATTTATCCTAAATTTTTTGAATGAGTGAGTACACAAAAAAATTCAGAGTAGACACCATCAATAAAATAAGCAACTAATAAAAAAAATTAAATTTCAGTGTCCTCCCTCAACAAATTTTGGCGATGCCAACAAATTTTATGTTGTCTAGGGGAATAGATGTATATATAGATTACGTGTCACATAGATATATGAATATGTATATAGAGATTAACGTAAAATTTTATATTAACAATTATTTGTGCTTATCATTTTGATCGAAGTTGATCTTATTCAAAAATTCTTAAGTTTGTTAGAAAGGAAACGACATTAATGTGGATTCGACATCGTTGTTAACCGAATCAAATGTAATATGAATTTGTAGGTCGATAAAATAAATAAATCTAGCCGTCAAATAATAGATTCCGTTGATAGATCATGTAAATTTATCAATAATAATATCAAGAAACTATAACTACTTGGAAGATATAAGACTAATATATATATATATATATATATATTAACATCAATTTAATCTTCTAGGGTTTCAACTAAAATAACTTAAGCTAGAATTTGAAAGAAAATTAAAAATGGATGACTAAATCAAGCTATTTAAAAACATTTTATATAAATTCCATCTTCAATTAATAATTTTTGGTAAAATATACTACAAGTCACTCAATTATTAGCAAATTACAAATGAATCATTAAAGTTCAAAAAACGAAATTGAACAGATCACTTAATTACGTCATTCAATTTTAATTAAAAATTAACTTTCGTTACGCACTTCATAATAGAGTGATACATTTGAAACAACGGATTAGTTGAGTTATTTGTTTGTAACTTTTTAAAATTTAGTGACTTATTTATAAACTTACTAATAGCTAAGTGAGTTGTAGAATAATTTACTTTATAGTTTTTACATATTTTTGGGTAAACTATGTATTTAGTCAGTAACTATCACTTTAATTTTATTTTGGTCACTCAACAATCATTTTTTTTCAAAATCACAACATAAGTTACATTTTGATTACCCAGGTAATGTCACATCATCATTAAAAAAATTACCACATCAATAATTCTATTTAATTTTTGGTTCGTTTTAATACCTAAATTATTAGTTTTGACTAGTTTCAGTACCTATTTTTTTTTCAAGATCACACCTTACGTTTAGTTTCATTTAATTTTATACCCCGACATTAAAAAATTAACACATTTAGTACCTAAAATGTCAATTTTAGTCCATTTTAGTACCTAAACTTTCAATTCTTTTCAGAACTTAACGTGAAATTTTGATCGAATACTAAAATGAAATAAAACCTAAACTTTAGGTATGAATTTAAAAAATGAAAGTGTAGGTTCTAGAATGAATCAAAATTGATAATTTAAATATTAACCACTTAATTTACCTTAGTTTTTAATCGTCGTCCAAAATATAATGTTAGGTATGATTTCTTAAACAAATAGTTGAATGACTAAAATAAAACCAAAGTGATAGTTGGGTGACTTTCTACGTAGTTTACCCCTTTATTTTCCTTCGGGAAGGGTTGATCAACTCCACATCACGCGCCTTGACTCGCTTCATCTTACTCCGATGAAGAACATTAAAACGGCCGAAAATCAAATCTAACAATACAGAGAAACCTAGAAAAAATAAATTGAAAATCGCCCACTTCTATAGATCACTCAACAGATCAAACTACTGCGATTCCTATTATCCGCCATGAGCTCTCCGGTAATCTAATATGTTTCTCTAATTTTGTATTCCAAAAAACGAGAATGAAATATATGCAATTTTTGAATTGATTTGCTCTTTTTTCCCCAAATGTTGTTAAATTTGAATTTATAGGGAAGTGGGATATTTAGTGGATTTACAAAGCTATGCAAGGGATTAGCTGTAATGTTAGTCGGTGGACACATTGTGGTTCAGCTTCTTCCTGTTTCTGTTACTTACCTTGCTCTCATTCCCGCCAGGTTCTCTCTCTTCCCCCCCCCCCCCTTTTGATTTGTTAATATCACTTTATGTGTGTTAATTTTATTCAATATGATGTTAGAAATTCTGGGTCATGATTAAATTTTTGTTTTACTTGTTCTTTTTGTGAAATATCCATGTGGGATTTTTGTCTGATTTCATTGCTGATTGCACAGGTTTTAAGTAATCGTATAGTTAGATTTGTCTTTCTTTCCCTCTTTTCTTGGATTTGGATTTTTCGATTTCAGTTTGCCTCGACACCCTCGTTGGGCTGATTTAAGATCTTGTTGTTTGGATGTTTAGATCTGGCCTTTTGGAATAGTGTAAGCATTTCCTTTTGATGTTCTTTTTCCTTCAAATTTCTAGTTAAGTGAAATGCAAATGTTTTGTAATTGTTCAAAGGGAGTGACTTCTTTCTTCATTTGAATGCTTAGATCTGGATTTAGGTACTTGAAATAAACTATCAGAGCGATCTTTATGTAATGGTTTTATTGTTCTTTTTGAATTTGCTTGCTCTTTTTAGGGGACCCATTTTTAGTTAAGCAGAATATTTATTGCTTTTAAACATTATTTTTAGCATCTTCATGTTCATGGCTGCTTACTGTGTGATGGGTTGATTCTTTTTTTTCATGCTTGGCTAAAGGGAGTTGTTAGTAGGATTTATTATCTAGATTTACAAAGCAGTATCCCGCTTGTTATTTTTTTTTCTGGGATTAAAGCTCTAACAATGATTTTGAATGAATTGGGAACTTCAGTACAAGATACTGTAAAAAATGAGTTTTAGATTTTGAGGTCGGAAATCTGTTTATAAGTCATTCCCTTTGATATTAATAAATGGCCAGCTGAGACATCACAATTGATTAATCTGGTCATAATCCATGCAAGTTGCCAATTGTGATATGTTTTCTTTTTAGCACGTACTGTTAAGCTGGCTCCTGTAACTTCAATTCTTTAGAGTCGCTCGTGTTGGACTAATATATGTTAGGACATTCTTTTCCCTCGAGACGCCAAAGAGTACTGTCTTCATACAATTTTACTTCACGGACTTATATATATATATATATATATATTCATACCATCTGAAACTTATTTTGCAGAACTATTCCTTTTGGTTGGAACCTCATAACCGCTGGTTATGTTGAGCAATCAGTACATGGGGTATTCACATTCATCTGACTCTTTATTTTACCTAATTTTTCTTCATCTTTTTTCTTGTTATAATCATCCTGATGGTTACTGATTTCTGCAGGTGGTTGTTAGTACGCTTGGTCTTCTTTTCATGGGGAAGTTGCTTGAGCCTGTTTGGGGTTCTAAGGAATTCTTGAAGTTCATCTTCATAATTAACTTTCTGACGTCTGTTTGTGTCTTTGTTACTGCTATTGCCTTGTACTATGTGACAATGGAGGAAAAGTACCTGTGAGTACTTCAACATTCCTATGTGTTCAAGAAGCATTTATTTTTGTCTATTTCTTCCCCTGTTCTGTTTTCCCCCACCAGTATTCTCAATTATTTTTTCGTGAAGTAAAAGAGTTATAAGATTGAAGTACTCTTTTCTCCTCTTTTTCTCACTGAATGGTAGGAAATGGTGTATTTATCTTGGAACTATATTCTGCAAAATTTATTCTAATATATTTTCACTGTTCATTTTGATAATTGTTAGTTACATGCCTCTTTCTGGCTTCCATGGGGTGCTGGCGGGCTTCTTGGTTGGCATCAAGCAAATCGTACCTGACCAAGAGCTACATCTCCTAAAGATAAAAGTAAAGGTAAAGATTTATTTTGCTAGGCCCTTTAATTCAATTTGGCATAAAACATTTTTCTGGCTGGAAATTCCCCCCTCGCACCCTTTGATGATGCTTCCTATGCCATGCAGTGGTTGCCATCGCTTGTGCTATTGCTTTCAATTGCCATAAGTTTCTTCACCCCTGAGTCTGCAACATATCTTCCAACTTTGATATTTGGGACATATATTGGCTGGATTTACCTCAGGTACCTGCAGAGAAAACCAGAATCGAAGCTTAGGGGTGATCCGAGTGAAGAATTTGCATTCTTTACATTCTTCCCTGAATTTCTCAGGTACTATCTGGTTTTCCTTTTAGCTTATGAAATGCGTTCATTTCTCTCTTCTTTCTCTCAAGTGTTTCTCTGTGATTTGCTACAGGCCGATCGTTGATCCCGTTGCATCAATATTTCACCGGATGCTTTGTGGAAAGTCTGAAGTCTCCTCAGATTCTCAGGGTTATACATTAGGCGGTGCACCGTTACTTGGTTCTGATCCCATCGAGGCATCTAGGAGAAGGTACCTCTTTATGTCTAATTCTTCCATAGATGTTCAAGTAACATGGTTTTCGTAACTTAATTCGTCATAGAATGAGCAAACATATAATGTTGTTAACCGAGACCTTAAATATTAGACAAATGCCGAAATGGCACCAGCCTTTACTTCAGTGCATTTAGAAGGTTCAGTGACATCATATTCGGATGAAATTTGTAGAATAACACTGGCCTTTTATAATTTAGGAACAAGAATAGGGAAAAGCGAATTCCAGTATACATGCCTAACTTGCACTAGCTTTGCAACTAATCTAAAGTCCAAATACTTAAACCTCTAGGTGAAGATAATAATGATTTTATTTTATCGTGAATGAAACAATGGCTTTCTTATGAGAGAAAAGAAAAAGATCAGTTTCTAACCTCTAGGTGACCTTGCAGGGAAAGAGGGGCTAGAGCACTGGAGGAGAGATTAGCAGCTGATAAATTGGTTGCAGGACTTAATTCAGAAGAGGCACACGTAGATGAAAGCGATCATGTTTGATTGCTCCAAAATTCCTGTTCATTAACTACAAAGGTTATGACTTATGAGGAATTATGTGCCCTTGCCCCGTTATAAGATTAGAAATGACAATTGACAAAATCCTAGAGCATGTTGTTACCCTTAACACTATAATATATGCAAAATTCATTATTTTCAAATGTATTGGCTCTTATATGTTGATTGCTTGTATAATCCACCTTTGGACCGTTTTCATTGTCCTTTGCCCTCGTCGTGAACATTCTTTTATAATAGTTTTCTCATTTTATGTTCATTTCGTGATCCGAACTCATCGGAATTGTGATCGAAATGAAATTTAAACTATTTAATACCAGTTTAAAATCAAAACGGTACATGCTAAGGAAATGCTTGAGAATAATCAGTCTGGCAAGAATTTCTGCCATTGGTGCAATCTGGATATGAAGATGTGCGGATTTGGATATTCGACCTATGTCGTCTTCTTGGCATTGCATGTCAGTGATTTTGTTTTCGGCATTGTCGACAGAGCGATATTCATTTTCGTGATTGCTGAAGAAATCAGGTCACATAACATAAGGAGACAACGCCATCACACCATTTTCCATTTCAACAGCCATAGCTTTGATCTGTACTTATTAACACTACTTTCATAGTGACATGTATGCATGCATATATGTATATTTGGAGTGATGAAGCCTAGATGTATGTAATATATAGGTGAAGCACAGGTAATCTGCCAATCTCTGCCTTGGATGGCTCAGTTGTTATGGCAATGAAGATCTTATTTTATAACATTCATGTGTATACTATATATATATATATATATATATATATTCAGATTGCCAGTTTTCTGGGGGAAAAACCTATAAATACCTCATTGTAGTTCTCTGTAAGCAAAAGCTAGCAAGTAGACGAATCATACTATATAATCTAGCATTGTTAGCAATGTCACGTATTGACAAGTAAATACATTTACATTAAAAGAATTTTGACAAAAATGACGAGAAGAGGACATGACAAAAGGGTGTCAGGGGGCAAAATACCGGGTGCATCAGACATGGTGAGGATGAACGTCGTGATTGCCATCTCGTCTCGCAAAATTCCGCTATCGACGGTGGCTTGTCCGTAATATCTCAAACATATGAACTTCTTGTTTCTTGATGTCATCATCAGCTGCCAATGGATTAGATTCTACCGTACGATAGTGCTTAGTCCCCTTTTGCTGGCATTATTCCCTTCTCATTCTCGGAGTTGAAGAGCCAGCACGGGGACCCTGAACCGACTGAGTTTTGGGATCATACTTTTGAGAAGCAAGATAAGTGAGTGCAGTCACTACGTCCGCTATAAGCGGCCGCATATTCGGCTGTTCTTGAACACACATTGCAGCCACAGATAGAGCTTGGTACAAACCCCTCACCGGATATTGGCCTTGAAGTAAAGGGTCAGCCATTTGTGCAAAATTTCTCCTATCTTTAAACAGGGGACGTGCCTGTAAAACAAAATCCATATTTCATAAGAGATTCATAGTTACAGAATACGAAAATAAACAAAAAAAACAACTTGCAAGGATCATTATGCTTCTTTCTCGTTTTACTTTCTTCTTCAGGACGAATATGGCTGTTCAAAAGTCCTTTTTCCCCCTCACGGTACTCATCGAAGCTCGAACACGGATGTCATTAAGACTAAATGATCAAATAAATCTCATTCTCATAGCAAGTGATAGGTATCTTACCCAGTCAACCAGATTTTGCTCACCGCCTGTTCTCGAGTTGTCAATAGCTTTCCTTCCGGTAATGATTTCAAGCAGAACAACCCCAAAACTATAAACATCTGATTTCAACGTAAGCTGACCGGTCATTGCATATTCGGGAGCACAATATCCATAGGTCCCCATCACTCTAGTGGATACATGAGTATTATCTCCAACAGGACCCAATTTGGCCAACCCAAAATCGGATAGCTTCGGACGATAGGCTTCACCGAGCAAAATGTTTGAGCATTTTAAATCTCGATATATGACTGGCGGGTTAGCTTTGTCATGCAGATACTCCAAACCTTTTGCAGCACCGGCAGCTATTTTCATCCTTGTATTCCATTCAAGTGGCCTTCTGTCGGGAGGCAAATCTGTTATAGAAGCAACGAAGTCTAAGACTGAGCATGACATTCGATTGTTCAACAGAAACCAAAATCCTAGACACCAGTACAAAGATGTTTATACCATGTAGACGATCTTCTAAAGATCCTAATGGCATGTATTCGTAAACCAAAAGTCTCTGATCTCCATCGGCACAATATCCGATCAAGTTGACGAGATTCGGGTGATGAAGCATGCTCAACATCAACACTTCAACCAGGAATTCCCTGTTTCCTTGCAGTCCATTACGATCAAGCTGCTTGATCGCCACAACCTATGAAAAACAAGGGACAAAGTCATGCTTAGTCCTCGTGTACTCGTACTATCGTACATAGGAGAAATCGGGTTGCACGACTTAGAAAGTTGTCACAAACCCATTTCTCCGATCATCGATACTAAATTAAAGCCATACAACAACACACATACTTGATTAGTGCTCTCCAATAGCCCTTTATACACTCGGCCGAACCCTCCTTCACCAACATGGCAATCTGCTCTGAAATTCTTAGTTGCTGCAGCCAATTCACGGAAAGTAAAAGTACGTACCGCAATGTGATCGGACTCACCATCCTTCTTAACATTTGGTCCAGAATTCACCTTCAGCTTCTCTACTTTGACAGTAAAAATACAGAAGACTCATGTCAATACCTTTAAAATCCTATATCAGATCACAATAAGCAATGAAAACCCAGAAATTCAACAAAAAAGTTGAAACAAATAAACAAATGGGTCAAACTCAAATCAATTATTTATTTTTTCAGGGGAACATAAGAGTTATAAGAACCTGAAGTAGAAGGGATCTGATGATCAAAGGTGTTGTCATTGAAGTGAAGCTCCTTCTTTCCATTTTGGTTTGATTTTCCACCGCAAGGGAAACAACCCATTTGAAAACCTTTAGCAAGAAGATGAAATAGGGGAAAGGAAGGGAACATGTTAAAGTACACGAGATGGTGATCATGGTCATCAAGTTGTTTAAGCAATTAGATCAAATCTAAAGTAGAATTAGTCATTAAATATAATGATCGGTTGAATAGTTTTGACCAAACTTGGTCATACTACGTGTAAAACACACACACAAAAAAAAGCAGTGGGAAAGCAAGTGGGGACTCTATATTTCGCATATCCAAGAGAGCTGATCTCTGTCTCCTACCATACCTTGTTTAGGGCTGGCAATAGATCGGAGATGGGTCGGGTCGAGTTTCATCCAGTTCATCATCCGTGGTCTAAATCTCCATCCACACCATCTATTATTCACAAAAAATTTCATCTATATCCGCTCCATTCATCATCCGCGAGTAGAGCGGATGAGAAATGAATTATATTATGAACAAAACTTATTTTTACATCTTAAGCTCAAATTCTTCTAACGTTCATAGAAACTAAACATTAATACTCAAACATTCATAGAACTCAAAACATGAATAATAAATTTTCATTAAATTCAAATAAAAATAAAATGGAACACAGTTTATATAGTATTGTATATTATGTTTGTGATACATTTTTAAGTGAATAGATGCATCATGCATAGTCTTGTACACTAAATATAATCTTCAAATCTTTATCAACAAACTATCACTTCTAAAAAATCATCTCCATCCTAGTATCAATAGGGATAAACCAATATTAAAAAATTAGACATATTTTCATCGGGTGATAGGTCAAAAAAATTTCATCCATCACCCGATCCGACCTATCACCCGATCCATCCATCACCCGCCAATCATCCATTTCACAACGAATTTTCATCCATTTATTCGGGGCGGGTGGGTGGATAATCCACTCACCCATGGATAACTGTCAGCCCTAACCTTGTTATAAAAGAATTCTTTGTTTAATACATTAAAATAAGGGTAACATCAACATTTTGGCACCATTTAAAAAGTTTAATCACCATATTATAACAATGGAAAGGTCACTGGTAAAAGAATATCATTTTACATAGTGCCTCCAATATAATTTACCCTTTTCATTTTGACCCTTTTTATTATTTATATTAATATTTAAATTTAGAATTTAATTTCAGTTTTTTTATAAAAGTCACTGGTATTATAGAAAAAGAAATTATCTCAAATTACAATGAAGATTTATAAATATATTCGTAAATTAAACACATAATTAGGATATTTTTCTAAAATTATTGATACGAAGACCAGTAACTTAAGATCTAATAAGGACAATACAAAGAAAAATTAAAAACCTAACCAAAACTCGAATAAGGATAAATACAAACAAATCTAACCGCATAGGTAAACGACCCGATCAAATTACTGAAAGACCACCAACAAAATCGTAAATCAGAGTCAAACAATATGAAAAAAACTATCCACGAACGCAAATCGAATATCCAAATTCAATTTCATAGTCCGGACAAGGGAAGATCAATTAACAAATAAGTATCATTTTATCAGTCGTGAAGATGTCAAATAAACTTTTAAAAAAGATAAATAAAAAATAACAATTAAACAACCGAAAACATATCAAAATAAAGATGAAAATATTTTATAAAGGCAGACTTATGAAAAGAAAAAGTATCCATGACACACCACAAAGGAGAGAAACTAGAGAAACTAAGGTGGATTAATTTAGGGTAAAGTACAAAAATGGTCCCTCAATTATAGTGTACTACTTTATTGAGTCATCCGACTATTAAAAGTTACAAAATGGTCACACAACTATAGAATGTTACTTTGATATGTTCTTCAATTATTAAAAGTTACAAAATGGTCACCCGACTATTTATTATGTTTCAAACTCGTCATTTTCCATTAAAAAATAGTGTTTGTCTAAGTTAGAAATTAACATGATGACTGAGATATGATAATCTTTGAAATAATCTTTGAGATTCTAGGATCAGATTTTATCATATCATAGTCAATAGGTTAATGTTCAACTCATAATATTGTCAATTTTTAACGAAAAATGACGAGTTTGGAATATAATGAATAGTCAGGTGAACCATTTTGTAACTTTTAATAGTCGAGAAATCTAACAAAGCAACACTCTATAATTGGATAATCATTTTATAACTTTTAATAGTCAATGGATTTAATAAAGCAACACCATATAATCATGAACCATTTTTGTACTTTACCCTTAATTT